TCGACTATCCGAGCCTGTCAATCAGCTGGTAATGGGAATAAGTGCAATGACTAAGGCTTGTGCCTGGAGCGTGCTACCACAGGCTTGCGCGCGACAATAGGTATGGGCTGTTGTGGACTTTGTGCAACCCAGTAGACGCGTGCTGTGACCAAATTTGAGCCCTGCTCTGACCCAGATCACTTTTACTGATCGTTTGGTCGTTGTGTAGGCGGGCGTATGTTTGTAATCTCTGCCACCTTAAACGGCTTCACAGACGCAAGGTCAGCAACCTGAAAACCGTATCAAACCCTTCGGCGAATCCGCAGAACGAATCAGTTGGATAAGATGGGTGTCAGGATGAAAGCTTGAAGAACGCTTAGCAGTCCAAGGTTCGGTTGCTTCGTTGAGTCTTGCCCCTTAAACAAAACCACTTTTGAATAGTTCGATGTACTCACTGGGGGCTAATATACTTTGCTTCATCTCTTCCAATCTCCCGCTTCTGCAAAAGTCAATAACTGTCAGCAATCACCGCTGAATGTATTTCAAACTTGGGGGAAAACCAGCTCAAGAGCAGGCGTCTGCGAATGGACTCTCCAAAACTTACCCACGAGGAGGGGTTGACGAAGGAGATTGACCGGAGGTGGTGATTCCGATTTAAAGGCCTCGTACAACTGAAAACCGGCAAAGATAAACACAGATTAGCATAACCGGCAAAGACTGTAATGGCCACTATCGCCTCATCAGCGGTCAGCAGCCAGTTATACCTTAACTCAGCCGGTGCATTATCTGATACATGAACCCGGGCCCTGTTGAGCGTAAGTCCAACGCCCTGTTTAAACTACCAGTCACTGTATGGCTGCTGGCGGGACTCAAGAGTAAGCCCCTAGACAGAGCGGGACGACAGAGTTCTGTCGTCGAAAGATAAACACAGTCGGTAATGGAAGCGGCCCTTCGGAGACATCCGGTCGATTTTCTGACACACTGTCAGACCAGACGAACCTTTTCAGACTGCCTTCGCTCCCTCTTACCTTATATAAGCTGATGGGCGATTCTTAACCGTATTAGATTCGGTGAAGGCGTTGTATGTAATCCCACTATATTAAAGCCGCCTGCATCAGGCACAAGGTTATAGCTACGGTTAGGCTTTGGGTTAGTGCTAGTAGTTGGATTATTCTTAGAGATGGGATTACCAGGCATTGGTTGTGGTATGGAGTTGGAGTTTTGATGTACGATTAGTGTTAGGGTTTTGAGGCTTGGGGTAAGGTTACGTTCGAGTATTCCTTAAAAGCTTATGGGTTTAGCTAACTCATTACGGGTATAGTCAAGGTTGGCGTTAGACATGGGGTTAACTACAGTCTTCTCAGTGGGACCACACATCTAAACCCTGCCTAGGAAGCTTTTAAACTCAGTTCTATTCGCCTGTCCCTATATTTTAGTGGGTAATTCTACTCCGATCTGTTTCAG